CTTCCGGCGCCGCGGCTCCATGGACGCCAACCTGCGCTTCTGGAGGGCGGAGGGGCAGGTGGGCAGTGCGGGCCGCGGTGTGGGGACGGGCCGCGCTTAGGCACGGTCCGAAATAACGCCTCGTCTCTCTCAAACGTGTCTCCCTCAGTCTTTCTTCCAGAGGTTTCTCCTCTGGTCGGACGCCTTGGATCCGCTGCTGCTCCTCAAGTCCACGGTGAGTTCCGCGCGGGGAGGGTCGAGGTGAGCGAGGGGATTGTGGATTTGCCGGGCTGTGAAGCGGGGTCACTGCAGGGCTGCTGAGGAGAGGAAATGCGTGAGGAATTTAGCAGCGAATGTAATATTCTGGTGCCTGAAGGGGCTGCAAGAGAGCTGGGGAGGTGCTTTGGACAAGGGCACGGGGTGATAGGACAAGGGGGAATGGCTTTAAACTGACAGAGAGGAAGTTTAGATGATATAGCAGAAAGAAATTTGTCCCTGTGCGGGTGGGCAGGCCCTGGCACAGGTGCCCAGAGCAGCTGTGGCTGCCCCTGGATCCCTGGCAGTGCCCAAGGCCGGGTTGGATGGGGTTTGGGAAGGTGTCCCTGCCCTGGCAGGGGTGGCACTGGGTGGGATTCAAGGTCCCTCCCAACCCGAAGCGTTCCACAATTCTACAATAAACAGAAATACACGTGTATGCACTTCTATATCTGATCACACAAACCAAGGGACATTTCTAGGCACAACCATCTCAGCAGCCCTGCTCAGACCATGGCTGCTGTGCCAGCTGTTGAATTATCCCAGTATTTTAAAAGTATCTACAATTGTAAATTCATTGTGTCTAGCTGTGTTCTTGCTTTCACTGCTCAGGTGAGGGACAGGTGCATCATTAGCTTTTAGGTTTGTATTTGCAGTGTTTTATAGCTGATATATTGCACTCAGAATATTGAAATCTGAGGGGGTTTTGTTTGTTTTGTTTTGTTTTTTCTCAAATACAGAATGAAATACAAAGAACCAGGTTATTAATACAAAACAATGAGAAGACCCTAAGTGAGCCCATACAGAATAATCAGGTATTTTGGACTGCAGTTAAAGTCTTAACATAAGTGTTTAGCCATATTTAATTGTTGTTTTATGTTTTAAAATACCTACTTGTTTTAACTTTTTAAAATTAACCTTCTGTTCTGCCTTAGTGTGTGCTTAGTGTGTTACACAGCCCATGGGATGTGAGTGCTTTATATGAAACAGGAGAGACATTTTAGAGGAAAATATAATTAAAGGGATGTATAAATATATATACTTTGTATAAAAGGAAGTGATTAGAAAGAGACATAGAATAAATTTAGAAAGAAGATTTTACCCAGCCTCTTAAGAAATTCAATTACTAATCTAATTTTCCAACTGTTGTAGACTAAACAAGCCTTCTTGCTAAGCCTGGTAAGTTTACACAATATTTAGATGATTTTTTTTCCCTTATTCAAGTATGGCAAAGATGTTCTAATTTGGTTTTTTTTTGTTTTTTTTTTGTTTTTTTAAGTCCAGCATACATCCTGATACAGACAAGATAATTCCTGTTTTGTTTAGACCTCCTGGTAGGTTCCCTTAAGTGAAATTTTATGTGAAGCATCAGGGGGAATAGCTCCTGGTGAAGAGTTGCTGTGACAGCACAGTGACACTCTCCATATAGAAAAGCAAGCAGACTCTTCTGTTAGTTGCACTGTTATATGTGTTAAAGATTTATTTATTTTTTCCTATGCTCCTGTTGAGGAATTTCTCCCTGGGATAATCTTCTCATGTAGATGGAAACACTGATTAGTCTCTGCTTCATGTTGCTGCAGAATGAGTTCCCAAATCCCTCCACATTTAAGTGTCTGCTATAATTTAAGTATTTCCCTTGATGGCTGTGGCTGCTGGATGAATTTACTTTCTGGTGACAGATCAAGTGTGCTTAGGGTTTTCTTTAGGCAGCACAGGTTGTTAATGAGATACAACCATACTGAGGCTATTTACTCATTATCTCCTGTGACCACTCATAACTGTGACAGCTTTTGTTATACCTCTCTTTTTGAACAGAGAGCTGAACTTGTGTTCAGTTATTTGCTTTCCATGCAGCCCTGGTGAGGGGAGCTCATGAGGGCTCCTTTTGGCTGTGAAATCTGGGATTGTGGCTTCGTAAGTGAGGAGTGAGAGATAAAGCTTAGGGTTGGAGTTAATGGTGATGCTGGGGTTTGTGGGCAGTGTTTTGCTTGGAGATGGAAGTAGACAGGAGAAGTTAGGGGAAATTTCTGCTCAAGACCATCTATCTTCACTCACAGACGTTAATTTTACTGAAATAAAGTTTTCTTTCTTTTTAGCTTTCATGCCCATAACTCTTCCTTTGGTGAGTAATCATGACAGATGCCAGTGTGCATCCAGCAAGTCTTCCATTTTCCGTAGCCAGAGGCTGGAGGGAGGGAATAGAAGTTTTGGGGCTTTATTGTAGCTTCAGCACAAGCTGTTTGAAAGATACCTGTTTTATGGGAAGTGCTGAGTAACCTGGAAATCGAGCCCTGAGAGAATCTTTCTGAAGTCCAAAGCTGTTAGTTACCCTTCTCCAGCAGCATTCCAAGAGATTGTTCATGTGTGAAGGACAGCTTTCTGATGCAAGGTGAGATCACTCAGCAATGAGAGCAAGGCCTGGGTTTGGTCTGTTCAGCCTCAAAAATCTGGAACTGCAGTGGGAAGGAGTTGGAGCCTTACATTCTGTGTCTCAGATCCAGAATATGATTTTTTTCTTATGTAGATGGTTCATTTGCACGTAGGAAATGGTGTTGTCAGTAAATTATCAAAGATATATAAAAGTGAACTCTTGTTATTGTGCTCAGAAAATGGCACCATGTGGTTTCATAAAATTTGTAGCTGTAATTATGTGCATATTTATTTGTTTAGATTCTTTGGGTTTGGGCTTGGCCTATGAGTGCACATCCTGAGATATGTCATTCCATACAGACATTACAGCATGAGCTTACATGGCACTGCTAGAAAGTACAATGAAATTCTTGATGGCTGTTAAATTCATTAATAGCAGAAATGAGTAGAAATACTTCTATATTTGAAGTTTAATGCACTCTTATAGATATGATTAGTGTTTGCATTAATAATAAAGATGGTTGATCCACTAATATTAAATGAATTACTGATCCTTCTCTGAGGCTTTGGAGATTCTCAGCCTTTCTCTTATTCACTATTTTGTATTCTTATCTTGATTGACTCTGTTTTTTGAAAGTGTTCCACACCTTGAGCTTGATACCTCAAGAAAGGTTGTGGTTTATTAAAACTGAAGTTCTTATTTACTGTCTGAATTTGAGAAGAAGATGGGAATTAACTCCTAAAATCTTTGGGTTTAGATCTAAGTTAGTATTCATATCCCCAGCAAAACCAATCTTTTTCTTAATCATTTCTTTAATTACACTTTTGCTACCTTAGTTATTTTATTTGCATCTATTTAAGCTGCACAGGCACAAATGCATTTTTCTTTTGGGTAAGAAAGCATCTTGCTGTGATATTCTTGCACATAATGTTTTACCACTATCTGTCTGTGTTTTATACCTGTTTGTGTGCTTTCTATTGAATAGAAAAATGAGCATGTCACCTCTGTAACATGAGAATGTGATAGCCTAGAACCAAGGCACCAGCTGGAGCCTTTGACACTGCTGCCAGTGGTTCCCCAGCAGTTCTTCTGGTGCTCCTGCACCAAAAACCTCTACACTCTTCAAACCTCATTTTCTTATGCATTTTTCCTCTTAGGTCATTGTTTCATCTGTTCAGAGGCAGGCAAAGCATTCTTTATTTTGGCAGGTAATTGCCTCTTACTTTCTACTTTTACAGATCACCTAGTCTCAATCCTGAATTCAATTTTTCTTACAATCTCTTGTTTCTGCAGTTTGTGTTTCACACATACACCACAGCATTCACTCTGGTAAATGGAAATGGCACCCCAAAGGCTGAAGTGAGTGTTGATTTTTATTTTTGTTATCATCTTAATTGTGCAAATGCCATTTTGAACTTGATTTGCAAGTGTTTTACAATATACTTATGCTTATACTTATAAGTTTGTTTTTTCTGTCCTTAGGAATACTCACTTCATCAAAAGCAGATCTTTCTTGGCTTGTTAGCCATTTCCTATTCAGCCTGTGTTGGTGTAAGTGTTTGCTCAGTGATTGCTTTCCTAACAAGATCTCCTGAGAAGGAGTAGGCACTGAGGTAACCACAGTGCCAGATATCCTTCAGGGCTGTGCTCTGGTGCTCTACTCTGATGTCTTGCCACAGAACTGTTCAGAATACTTTCTGATTATCTGTCAGCCATTATTTTATGTGGCTTCCCCTGATGCTTCCGCTTGTGTCATTTTCTTTATTGTTTTGCAAGCTTAGCAAACAGGTGGTGAGAGAAACAGAGTGAGCCACTGGGGTGTTGTAGCTGATTTTTGATGTGGTGCTGTGGAAGAGATCCAGCTCCAAACAAGGGGTGAGATCTGCAAGTACTGGACAGTGTTTGCTCAGATCCCAGGAGCAGCATGGTCATGCAAATACTGCACTGGATGCAGGGAAATAAGTCTTCCAGAAGGGAGCTCACCCTGTGCTCTCTGCTGGAATAGGAATTTGTGGTTTCTGGAGTTTGCTACATCAAAATGAGCTCATCATGACACTCATCACAAGTGTAGATGTCTCTGTGATGCCTCTCCTTGCCCCCCACATGAAGTGATTTTCATAAGCTTCTGGCAGAAAAATGTGATAGTTTTTGCTTCTTTTAGGAGGGGTTTCACCTCTGCCCACTGCAGGGCAGAAAAGCTGGCTAGGGTTGCTCAGGGCTTACAGAAATCTGAGGAGGCAGCCCTGCCATGGGTCATTGTGGGAGTGCTTCCCTTTGTCTTTCAAAGGAGTCTTAGAGGACCAGCTGGTGTCCTAGACCTTTATTCCTAAATGAAACTTCCTGCAAGTATATTATGGGAATATAGAATTGGGCTGAAACTGCAGAGAATCAGGAAAAATACAGAAGCAAACCAGATTTTCTGTTTTGGGGGAGAGAGGAATGTGTGACAAAATGCAGTTGGATAAATTTCCAAGGAATATTACTCACAGGTAATTATTTTATTTTTTGTGTCTTTGTATTCTCCCTGCTGCTGTTCTCTATATAATAATGTTGAATGCTTTATTTATCATGTTTTTAAATCTTATCTAAAAGCGTGGTTACAAGCACCTTCTTTAACTAGAGTAGGCGTATATTTTGTTGAAACATTAAACCAAGGCATTTGTTTATTTTCACAGATGTTAACTACTTTCTAAGTCACAGATTTATTTTCCTAATGCTGCACATTTTTTCAATGGAGGGTGAATTCTGTGCCTGTTTCCTCTCCATGCCTTAGGCTCTCCCTCTTGCCTTCATGAATCGTTATGTGCTGAAGAGCTCATTAATGCAACTTGTCGTCAGAAAACTGCTCCCTGCTCCTCTGTTTGGTGAGTAGAAGAAAACTGCATTGTGCAGCTGGCCTGAGGGCCATTTGCCTGTCTGACTGTAGGGTTTTCTTGCTTTTGCACAGTTGTGATCTCACTGTTTCTTCCCTGGCTGCCTTTGCTGGCCCCCTCCTTTCTGTGGGAGACAGCTCTCACTGCACAGTGTCCCCAGCCTCACTGGATTCTTGCTGGGTTTAGTTTCAGAGCTGCAGAGCACTCTTGTGCCCTTTGTACACATACCTGAAAGCACCAGGACAGATCAGGAGGGCAGTAACAGCGGCACTGCCATGACCTGGTGTGGCACATCTGTGACACCAGAGTGCGACATCGCTCTGGGAGTGCAGAAAGTGAGATGTGTTCCAGCAGGGTGTTATTAATCTTGCAAGGAAAGTGGGACTCAGTTCATTACAGCAACAACTCTACTGCCACAGTGAAGTTTCACCAGGACAAGTTTAACTGGTTAATGTCATTAATTGTGTTTCTATTGCCATTAAAGAAAATTTTTGCCTTTCCTAAGGGAAAATTGCTAAAATTAAAATAATCTCCTCTGTTTCAAATTATGTGAGATGCCTACTCAGATCTTTCTGAGGTCTTACATTAGAGGTTTCTCACTTGCTTCCTTTGAAGCAGATGTTAAATGTACTTCCATTTTCTTAAATGTAGAGGGAAGCCTGAGGGTAATCTATTAATGGTGGTCCAGCATTTGCAAAGTGTCCTCTGGTACACTGATGTCTTTATTGAATAGCCCTACCAAGAGCTATTAAAAAGAGCAATCTCTTATTTCAAGCAAGGTCAGTTTGACAGTCTATGGCCTTCCTTTCAGTGCAGGATGCAGCCTTTTCTGAAACTCTGTTCCTTTTAGGATTTTGTCTTCTGTGCTGGATTTATGCTGAGCAGGACAAAACCTAACCACAGCAGAAATCCCTCCACTTTCTCTTAAGACAAAGCACTCACGGTTTGAGCTGGATAGAAATGATTTTAAAGCTCTGGACCCATAATGACAAAGCACTTTTTAGGGCTGAAGCCTTGCAGTCTCTCTTAAGTTTCAAACAAAGATTCAGATCCCAAATAGATTTTCATGGGGCAGTGTCTTTTGAAGCTGTCAGGTTATTCAGTTGTGAACTATTGAACTGGAAATGTAAAATGCACGTCATTATGAATGTTACTATTGAGGCAGTGCTTTTGGATCTATTAAAGCAAAATCCCCTTTAACCCTGCAGGTTTGACAAGTGCATTTACTGTGGCAATGGTGAGAAGCCCAGAATTTGAGAATGGGATAGAAGTGATGGACAGGAATGGCAAGGTTATAGGAGTGTCTAAGAAGGCTGGTGAGAAGGTAGGTGAGGGATGGAGAACTTTTTTGACTTGCCTTTCATTCCCTGCTAAGAACAGAATGTGATGCTGAGAGTAGATAGGGATATCTTGAATAATGAATCCCACATCAGGTGCTGAATCTTTGGGCAGGCTTGGATTAGGTCTCTGGAACCAGATTCCACAACTTCTGTGTCATCAAGGGTTGGCTGCCTCCCCACACCATTATACTGAGGACCAGAGACACTGGCACAGATATCTCTGTTTTCTCTGGTCACCTCCAGAAGGAGATAAAACTCTTGGATCTTCTGATGAGACACTTTCTGTATTGTGGAAACAACTGCATGAGCATAAGGATTTGGGGACAGCTGGAGAGAGAATTTCAGATTTAACACAGGCTAGTTAGGATGCCCAGAAGGTATAACCAATTGTTTGAAATGTAGCACAACTTAGAAAAACAAGTCTTAGCAAAATTATGATCATGGCAAGAAAACTCATCAGTAGTTTCACTTTCCTTTTAAGGAATTTAAGGAATTTCTCTGTCATAAGCAGAGTATTTGCCTCTTAATTTCCATTTAAGAAATAATTCCTCTAATAGGTGTTATCCCTTATTGCTTTAAACTCCAGAGTGAAAGACAAAAAAGGACTCAGGGAAGCAGGCAGTGTTTGAAGCTGCCCAGAGCACTCTTTTGACAACACTTGTTTTGCTGTCTCCCTGAAGGCTGTTATGGAGACTGCATTGTCCAGAGGAGTCTTGTTTGGGACAACGTTCTTCCTGCCTGAAGTGCTCATGTACTGTGTGCAGAGGTGAGAGGCACTGCAGGAGGCTGGGGGTGCCTGGTCAGTGGTACTCTGGTTTTCAGTCTGGCTGTTAGCATTTGCCAGGTTTTTCCTTGGGTTTGCAATATCACTTGCCTTGGAGAAAGTGATGATATGGGAAGTTGCTGTTGAGCTGCTGTGGTTCTTTGATCCTCAAGTGAATCTGGTTATGTCTGAACCCATGGTCCAAGGGTTTGCAGGAATGAGGTTTTCCTCTCTGCTCCCATGCAGAAAACATGTTTGTGCTTTCCTGGCAGGCTGTTTTCCAGCACCTACCTCCCTCCAGTTCCCTAACTTAAGATTTGAGTTTCAATGTCTATATCAAGGTTGCTCACAGCACTTAGATTAGGTTTGTATTTTTGAAGAGGTAATGTGGAACTTGAATTTGCAACTAAAGCCAGATCCCAACTTCCAGATAGTTTTCAACCTATTGTAAAACATGTTCTTGCTTTTCAACATTTTAAATCCCTGTATCCCAGGAAGAATACATTGTATGCTTTATGAGGGGATTCTTAGCCTGTCCTGAGCTTTTGGTTCATGATCTTTGTCATGTAAATAGTACAGATAGGGATCATCTCTGTCAGGTCATTTGACATTGCCTAAATTGATTTCCTGTCAGTTTAAGGGACTCCTGTTACCAGAAGACAAATGCAGATGTAAAACAAAATTTAAAATCTATATGTCAAGTGATAAATTTTTGCACAAGGCAAAATAGGGCTGCCCACAGGAACTAAGTGTGTAAGGAAAGAGGGTAATGCAAGAAAAATCTTAATCAAGGAACTGAGCCACTCTAAAGCACTACTTTCTTTTCTTTTGTCACTTTGATCTTGCTGCTTGTTTTCCTAATCTTGACAGTCTGGGCTTGGAAAATGCTTCAGGCAAGCACAAAACAAAGGGAAAGCACAGGAAGTTAAGAGTAAGAACATAGGAAATGAAGTAAGGAAACATCTTTAGGAACCATAAGCCTAGATTATTGCTAATTTCACTATAATTTCAACCAGTAAAATAGTAGCTAATGCTCTTTGTGTCACTGTCAGGCTAATTTTCAATATACTGACGTACTTTTTTCAATGTCTTGGACAGAGCAAGATTCGTTAAAAATCCTCGTGCTTTGGGTTCAGTGAGGATGTTTGTGATTATGTCAGTCCTAGCAGGGATGCTGCCAGCCTCATTTAGTATGTTCCCACAGTGTGGGGAGGTAAGTCCTTTCAGAGGAATTGGTTTAAGATTATTGTGACATTAAATAAGCCTTTCAGAACTATGGCCAGCAGTCTGAAAGCCACATATAAAAAAATCAACAGGATTAATGTGGTACATCTGAATTGGGGCAGCAGAGAGGCTGCTTGTGAAGGCCCATGTACCAGGCAGAGGCTCACAGGACTTTTGAGGTCTGAGTTGCATTGTGTGTTATTTATATTTATACTTCTCAGTGTAGATTTATCAGGCTTTCACAACAGTCTGAAGCAAGCAAGGTTGGGAGAAGTATGTTGAAGATTTAAGCCAAGGCTCTTCCAGCACTGCATTCAGTCCTGCAGGAGAAAGGAAAGATGTAGATGAGAATTATTTTTTCTTTACAAAGTCAGCATGAGCTCACTGGAGAGGTAAACCTGCTCACATATGATGTCTCTTCACCCTGCCTTGCTGAACTGGGAAGTGTAATCTGTTCCCTGGGAGAGAATGGCTTCCTGGCAGGTTTTTAATGGAGGATGTAGCTCCTGAACCTTGGGCTTTGGAAAAGGACAAATGAGAGGGGAGCATCTCTGCATTTGTTTCCTCTCTGTGAATATTCTTAGCAAATCACAGACTGGGCTCTTGCAGTTTTCAGTAGTTTATTTTATTTGCCTAAACTTTCTGGCATTTTTTTTTTAGATTTCCTTATCTCTTATGACAGCAAAGCAAACTGAACATAAATGAGGGGATTTTTGAGGAATTATGTACTGAGACTAGGGATGGCTGATGCCCTTTGGGCTTCCCAATGGCTCAGCCCACAGCAGAAGTTCTCCTGTGTGTCACCCAAATATATTTACAGCAGGATTTGGTGATCTTAAAGGTCTTTCCACACCTCAATGATTCGGTGGTTCTATAGTGAACAAAGATAATGCCACTATTTTCAAATAATGAGTATTTCTTCCCATATGCGTGCACATATAGAAAATGTTGGAGGAGCAAAAAAAAACAAAAAACAAAACAAAAAAACCAACCCCAAACAACAACAAAAAATTCCTCAAATCCCCAGGTAAACAAAGAGCCTCAAGTCCCAAATGCAGTTCTTGAATTTGTGTAAAGTGCAATGCAGTAACAAAGATTTAACATCCATTTACCAGTCCGTGGTGGTGCTGATTCCCTTTTTTCCTACATTGCAGATAAAGCGAGCAGACCTTGAACCGGAAATTCTGTCATCTACAGAAGAAACAGAGTTCTTCTACAACAGGGGAATCTAGAGCCTGGCTTTTATATATGGATGTGTGCTGTGATCCAAGTGAATTCTGATTGCAGCACTGGCATCTGTGGCTGAATTGTGATTCTGTGGTGGCAAAGGTGCCAGATCCTGTGAATGATGGTGTGGCCTGTAAAGAGGCAGAACTTTGCTAGGTGGCTTTGCCAGCCCAGACTGGTGGCACCTGAAGCTGAAAAGCACTACAACACAGCCTTTGTCACAACCTGTGTTCTGTGCTTCCTCGGGTGATTGATTTCTTAATTAAACGACTGTTGAGTACATAGGTTTGTTCTGCTGCTGCAACTTTTGGTGTGCTTCTTTCCAGGAACCCAGCTGGTGAAGGCTTTGACATCAGTATTCCTGTGGGTAAAGTCCAGCTGGTTCTTATCAGAACACTTTGCTGTTTTCAGTGATCTACCAATGCTCATTTTGAGGATGAGACGTGACTGAGGCAGCCCTTGAAGTTATATTGGACAAAGCAACCCTCATGGCAATGGAATATTTGTTTAATTTAGTTGTCTAAAAAGTGTTCAGGAAATGGGTGTCAGACTTGATTACCAATTAGTTCCTGGCTTTCTAAACATCCTTGTAGTAATTGTGAGGCCTGATGGCCTTTGAGCTTTAGAGCTTGTTTTTTTACACTGAAATCATGAGGAGATCCCATGTCTTTCTGACCTTGTGGGGGACAATGAGGAATTCCACTTTTGAAGGTTGGCTGTGGTTATCCAAAGAAAGCAAGCAAGCTCTTTTGATATGTAGCATTATTTTGGTGTGTTGATCAGCGAGGTGATACATTTTGCTGATCCTGTGAAATTATTCAGGGACCCTCAGCTATCTGGGAAGGGCTGCAGAAAGCTTATAGGAGACCCTGTGATTGTGAGAACATCTTCAGTGATTTTTGAGCCACCTCTCCTACAACCCCTGCCTGTGGTTATGTGAGGTGCTGCTAAGGCTGTGTGACAAGGATGGGAATGCATTAAATAATGGAAAATTATTTATGTGAAAGTGATTAGCACAAGTGCAGCCTCCAAAGTGTGCCATAATTTAACTTCCTTAGGGCACAACACGCAGTTCACTCTCTGTTGTTGCTGGAGGATTGGATTTCTTTTCACAATGTGAGGAGAAAAATGGTTGCCCAATCCAATCCATCCTACAGGAAGAGAGCAGCATAGAGCAAAGGAAGGAAAAATAGCAGTCCTGGGCTCTTGCAAGAAGAGATCCCTGCTGTGCTTTTGGCACTGAACAAAAGCAGGAAGTTGGGGATTGAATTTAATTTCTTTGAGTTCTGCCTTTTTTGAGCCTTCCTCTAACAACTTACTGGAGGGAAAGGTCAGACAAGGGAATAGGAGAAAGGAGCAGCAGCACATCCTAAGGACCTGGAACTGGAGGGGAACATGCTGTAAAGCTGTTCCAGGAAGACCATATGGATACTGTCTGTAATTGGCAGAGTTTGCAGTACTCCACTGGAGAACTGTAGTGAATTTTTATAGGTAAAGGATTGTTTACACCTATTGAACTCTGCAGGCTCACTCAGCCTCTGTGGGTGATGTTCTTCAGAACATGGTAAAATGTCATTGGGGTCAAGAAAATAATTGTGTTGTGTCAGACCAAAGGGTCTGCTGAGCCAAATGTCATCTGCTCATGGTGGGAGGTTAGAACTAGATGATATTTAGGGTCACTTAAACCCCAAACCATTCCATTATTCTACCACAGGGTCAGGTGGAATAGGCTTAAGCCTCAGCCTGGCTCTCTAGGTGAAGTGTTTGTCTTCTTCCAAGCCTTTAATAGCAGAGGCACAGATAACATCCCGAGTGAAATTAGCTAAATATGTTTCTCCTGTTTCAGTCACATACCAAGGGCAAATCTGAACGGGTCTGATTCCACTCTCCATAAACAGTAACTGGCACTACAGTGAAGACCTGCATCTCTCCCCACTCCTTTTTTAAACATAATTTAAGAATGGCTAAAGTAAATGCTAGTTACATGAACCACAGTGGGAACAAGTGAAAAAAACCCCAAACCTAAGAGTAGAGCAAAGCCAGCAAATAGAAGAGAATATATTGGTGAACTTTGGATTGTCATGGTAACTAGACAAGCTATAAATTCACTGGCAGCACACTTGGATGTTTTAAGCAAATTGATGTCATTACAACTCCATGAGTAAGGCTTCTGGAATAGGTCTGGTAATAGTTTCTGTTTTCACAGCTGCCCCTTCTCAAACTCCACCAGCTTCTTACTGAATTCTTGAGTTGAAATTTGCCATATTAAACTCAGCTCCTTCAGGATTATCAAATACCCGTTTCCACAGTGTTTCTATTGCCCTAACCAGAATTCTGCAGAAGAGGAGGGCAGGTGCCTGCCATTTATCAGTCTGGTCGATTCAGCCACTTCCCAAATCAGGGCAGGGAAAATACATTGCTAAAAGGGCTGTGGCATCCTCAGCCTTGAACCAGTCCTTGAGATGAGAACTGGCAGGACCAGACACCTGGTAGTCCAGAGGTACAAGTCAGGGAACAAGACTGGGACGAGCAGCAAAGCCTCACGTTTGTGGGACCTGCGAAGAGGAAGCCTTGCCCTTTGTAATGTGGGATAGATTAACCACATACCAGCCCAAGGCAGGTCTGTCTCCTGCCTTAGCTGGCTCTTGTATTAAGTGACAGTGCATTAGTGGTGGAACCAGTTTAAGTTGTGGTGAATGACAACAGATGGAAGCTTTCAGCTTCAAGGAAAACAGAAGTCTTAATACAGCACAAGATGCTGTGCCTCACCCACTCAGCTTCTCATCTTGAAATGTAGGAAAATCCAGTGAGGCTTTCAGGCTCCTTTCATGTAGCTTAAAAAAGTCAGCCACTCCCATGTTAAGAAATACTGAGATCAAAGCCTTTCTCAGCTGGAGCTGTGTCCTTGCTTTACCCCCAGGCCTGTAGCACAGCCATGCTGCTTTTCCCTTTTCCCCACATGCTGGGGTGGAGGAAGGAAGGATGAAGTCAGGGAGGGAGTCCTGCACTGCAGCTCCTTCCCTGTCAGACAGCAAACACCACGTGCTGCAGTGTCACTCGGGAAGGAGCTGTTCCCCAGGCTTTGGAGTGTCCTCCCATCCCACATCACTCAGCAGCTCCAAGGAATGACTTCACCTGCCCAGAGATGCTCTGACTCAAACTCCAGGAGCCAGCTGCCTGGGGAAGGGTGTAAGGCACGATGAGGCAGCTGGGAACTCCCTCCACTGAGTGTTATGGCTTGTTTTGTATCGAGGAATGCAGCTGCTTCAACTGACATCTCACACACCACGATTAACAAACCCTCAGCAGCCATTTCAGGAGCAGTCAGAGGCTAAATGCAGAAGCAGCCAGGACGTTTAAGAAGGATTCTGTCTCATGTCCCGTGTCAAGTTTTACAAGTTTTCAGGTTACAAACCATTACACTGCTCTCCATTGAACATTTTCCCCTTCACACATTTGCCTGCAGGGGAAACAGGGCAGGGCAGCTCATACCAGGAACTAAAACCCCAGGGATGAAAGCAGTAAGTAACCCAATTTACTCAGCAAAATCTCAACTGCAGGGACTGAGTGTTAATCCTGCTCCCCTTTGCAAGCCTCTGCCCTGTTCACTCTTTACCTTCCATTTCTGCAAACATAATAGAGATATTATGGCACAGGAGCCATTCACCATTTTGTATTTCTCCAAGAACAGAAAGGTATGAATAAAAATTCCATTTGAAATGGCCTTTGCTTCTAGGAGGAAGAAAGGATGTCATCTGACTGCAGAAGAGCAACTGCACCCAGAGTCTGCCTGTGTGCCTCCTGGGGAAAGGGAAGTGAGAAAGAAGTAGAAATATTTTCCTGTCCAGACCTTGCATTTTTTTCTATTTTATTTTAAACATTTTTGAAAGGAAACAGTGTCAAAAGTCATTAAGAAAATGCAAGAACATTAAGACAATCCTTTGAACACACTGAAACTGAGGGGGGCCAATAAATCTTGTACAGTGCTGATAAAAATCAGCAATGACAGAAGTGTTTGAACATTTCCAACCTAAAGACCAAACCATAGCTCAATCCCAGTATTGCAAAACTAAGAGCTAAGGCCTGTGGCTCTATGGCCACAACTATTCAAGAAAAAATTTACATAAATTAAAGGGTAGACTGTTCAGGAATTTTTTAATAGGCATAAGCATGCTATGAGTCCAGTTCCTTAAGTGCAAAATTGTATTTCATCTGTGTTGCACAAACGTCAGGAGATCTAATACAACACTGAAATTTTCAACTGAAACATTTCCAGAACAGAAATCAAAGCAGGCATTCAAGGTTTAGTTTGCAGCTGAGCTCCTCTGCTTTGTGTGGTTGTCTCTAGATATGCTTTAAGGCAGTTTGTTAATAAGAAACAATGGGAATTTCTTCTCAGTTACACTCTGGTGTTAAGACAAGCTGGCTGAAGCAGATTCAGGTTTTCCTTGGTGAAAGAATTCCATTTCAGTGGACTTTAAAGTAGGTCCTGGATAGAATTTTCAGCACAGTTTTGCAGCTCTTCTAATCCGACTGTTTTATAGGTCCCAAAATAGAAGCAGCAATATTAAAGAACCATTAACAAAAACCATTAATGGGCAAATGGGGAAAAAAGCTGTGGAGCACTTACATGGAAACAAAGGCAGTTGCAATATTTTTCTCAGAAGTTAAAAAAAAAATTACATGCTACTGTGTTCAGACTTCAGACTAAGTTTAAAGCAGAATTTTAAACCCCTGAAAATAGGGGATTGTTCTGAAGCACTTTCATTTCCTGACTGTAATAACCACCCAATGTATACACAGATGCCACATTCCTTAATCACATTCTAAAATAGATTCCCTTAAGGTATCATACATAGCAAAAGGACACCTCTTTTTCCAACCAATATTGCTTGCACATAGTTATTGATAAGCTCTACCAGTTTCAGAATAGCAAACATCCAATTATTTAACAATATAAATATTGGTTACTAAAGTTTTAATCATAAGTATAAAATCTCTATGTAAAACCACATGCTACAACATATCTGTACAAAGGCCAGGAAAAAGGCTATTTTTTCTTTTAACAAAGTGCTACTGCAGAATTGACTGATTTGTTGTGGACGTTTCTGAACAAATACAGATTGTTTGGCTCAGAGCATTTCCTTACAGACTCTAAATTCTTCTCAGAAGATTGTAAAGCAGTTAGTTTCAGGCTGCTGTGTAAAAAAAAACCGAAACAACAAAAAAACTCCA